TGTGTGTGTGTGTGTGTGTGTGTGTGTGAGTGAATGCATTTTGACACAGCCAGTTCGGTAGAAACTTAAAAAACTAAAGATAGCCGACAACACCACTACTGTGTCCTTCACTTATATGCCATACAAATACAAATAAATAATAAAAGGAAGGAGCTACTCCTCACGGAAATCTGTGTATTAACAGCGACTATAACAAATGGTATTTGCGCATCAATAATTGGGGGGGGGGGGGTAAATCACAGAAAGCAGATAAATAGTCATATAGTCACATCACCACAACAACACCATCTACCCCCTTGGGTTTAGCTCAGGATGGGTATATTATATACAGACAGACAGACAGAGATACAGCCATACCTCTCTCTGCCCCTCCGGCAGAGCTCTTATCCCCCCCCTGCTGTGGTTTTACTGGGCCACTGACTCCAGCAATCAGCCTGTTCTGCTCCACTCTGCTCTGCCCTGACTGCTGCCTGCACATCTCCCACTGAGGAGTCAGCTGAGCCAGGCATGAGACTGCACACTGAACAGGCTACATACAGCTTAGAGGAGCTTAACACACACACAGAAGTGCTGGAAATCTTAAGAAATTTGCAAGATTATACCAAACAGTACAGATATTATTGCTTCACAATCATGAGGACATTAAGATATGAAGTATGCAGTGGGTGCTAAAACTGGCAGCTGAAATAACTGTTTATTTGCAGTGTAAGGTTAGTTTTAAAACACGACTAATTAAGCTGCTATAAAATGCATATATCTGCATTTCATTAAGGAGATAGTTAGCAGTCGTAACATGATGTCCACTATGGATTTATGCACTTGTACACGCTCACTTTATTCCCACAATCAATGCAGATTTTTTTTATACACCTACTCCTCGTTTATTTAAAAGTAGACGTCAGACAGTGAAAAAGGGCATCAAGATGCATCTAATTACAACAATAAAAATAACTGATAACTCCTAAACATGCTGGTGTTTTTACCATACATAACAGTTTCACAAAACCAGTTACACTAATAACCATGGAACACTTACAGTAATTTAATAAAATAAACTGTTATGCAATAAAACCAGTCACTGTGTGCTTCGAGCTGCATCGTCTGTTGTGTTAAAGTATCTGACAGAAGAGAAATAGCAACAATTAATAATAATAATAATAATAACAATGATAATAATAAATTAAACCATTAATATTTGAGCTAAGTATACAGTCTCTTGCCTTGTTATCAAAAAATACCCATGTCATGTGGTATGATGCACATGCCCGCACACACACATGCACACACACAGACACATCCGCATACTGTAGACAGACATGCTTGTCAGCTACGCTGGAGGGCCCTTGGCTGACTGCTGCTAAAACAGCCCTTCCCCCACAATAAGGGTCTGTCTGGGAGAGGGGGAAGGGAAATCATGACTGAATCAAGTCTGAATGCCAGCGTAACGGCACAACAGGCTGGAATAGAATAGAATAGAATAGAATAGACATATCTTGGATGAAGATAATTATGTATTCAGTAATGAGCTGCCTTCATTCAGTCACTTAAGGTGGTCTCAGTATGTGTGTGTCTTTGATTAATGACGTAAATAAGCAGTGTGCTATTATATAGAAGAAATAAGGTGCTTAGGCAAACCTGCCCTAACTGCTTGAGGCATATTTTGGTCAGTTGCAATGGTGTGGGATCGCTTTTCATGACCAGTTCTTGGCTTGGGTGTGTTCTCTTTAATGTATTATCCAGGGGAGGTTTGAAGGGGAAATAAAGGAGGGGTGCAGCAGGCAATTCATATTTTCCTTTTCAGGTTGTATTCTTGCATCATCTTTCTAACAGTTTTCCGGTTACCAGGTTGTTTTATTAAATATTCGGGGATAAAGAGCATTCTGTCCATTCAATGTTATCTGTTCTGTTTTTTATTACTAAAAAAATTCACGTGAACTCCAGAAGTAACATTGTAGCAACACCAAAAGATACTCTGAGGTCATTGTTAATCGTCATGATTTAGCGCTGCTGGGAATACGACTTGTGTATTCTGTTCGATACGCGTAACGCTAAACTATTTTCTGCTTTGACCCAGTAGCAGCGTGGTTTTAAGTTATGCATAATGCATTAGAATTTTAAACTCTAGAGGCATAAATCAATTTTACGTGTGTGCTTGAACAGATGGGTGCAGCCTTCATGCGGTTTCTTGGTGATGTGCAAATATAATAAAAACAGTAAATACAGAAAAAGGTCATGTCATTTATACAAAAAATTAAAATAAACAAATCTACACGTTTGAATATCTGATGTAGACTTGAATCCTAACATAAAGCTTCCATACCACTTAACTCCAGCATCAAACTTATGTCACAAAGGGGTTAAGAGCATCGCCTTTTAAGCTTTATTTACAGAATAAAGTGGATAGTGACTCTAGGGATGCTGACACCTGCTACAAAACTCTTTCCAAACCAAACCATCCCATTTTGTGGTGACTAGAATTTAAAGTGTGTGTGCTTTTTTTGAGCTGCGACAGTTTTCAGAAAGTTTCCTATATGAATGAGGCATTTACACCGCATTAAGAGGAAACTTAAATAAAAGTCCCTGCGATGTGCAGACATGGATAATATAAACTGACTTAATGTGCAATTGTCACAGTAGCTGAGAAAGTTTACAACACAATATTTGAATAATTCTTCGCTAAACCACTTTTCTTTCACACTGCAGACCTCACAACCATTTTTGCTTGCCTCTTAAAATTATGTAAATAGTCGTTTTTTTGGTGGGGGAGCTTGTTGCCACACCGCTGGAGTGGATTTCCCCAAAAGCAGTTAATGCTCATTACTCAAGACAGTTTTTATAAGTTATTTTGAGCACTTAAGTTATTTTCAGCCTGCATCGCAAACATTTGCTTTCAGTTGTCCATTTCTCCCCAAGTAAACCATGGCTTGATTAACTTGGGGAGAGAAGAATAGAAGAGCCAATTAAAAGCAGCTGAAGTGGTGAGTAAAAAATCTTCATCCTCTTATAGAAAACACTTAACAACATATAATGTAATAATTAAACACAGTTTGGACAACTACTGTTAGGAGATGAACTTGGAACATAATAACACAAATGTATCATGTCTTGGGTATTTGTGGCATTGAAAGAGAGATTAAAAACAAAAAAAACAACACTCATGAATAAAGAAAAAAGCTGTTGAGTTTCAGTTCCAGCTGATATTTATTTCCTTCCTTGAAAAAGTTCTGTACACAAGTTTGTATCAACAATCTGACAGGCAGTGAATGGACACAATTTAGCTGGCATGAGTCCCCGCCCCTTTTCTCTGAGACTCAAAAAGAGGGTGGGTACTTTTGTTTATGGCATGATTAGAGACAATAAATGATAATTCTACACATCATATTGCACAGGATGGATGAAAAATAAAGTTAATATATTTAAAAATGCTTTCATATTTATATATAAAAAAACAGTCTGAACTGACCACCTCGAATGTAGGTAATGATGTGTAAAAGATGGCAGCTCTAGACAGTGCCTGTCCTCGATAGCAACAACGTACATAAACACACAATCTTTTTGCTTTATGATACAGTCAAATATACAAAGACCGAGTTCACGTTTCATCGCTTTTCCTCATTTTTTTCCATTTTTTTCTGAAAAACACAACAGCTAATAACCTGAATCTGAAATACAAATGCTATTCACCATGCCATAAAGATACTAAAACAATTATTAGCTAATAGTTAGCCCACAAGTAGAAAAGATTATATATTCAAATACAATGAGAAACGCAGTACAAGTAGGTGTTTGCAGAACTCAAGTCTGAAATTTGAATACGCTTGATGTTATCATCCTTGTTGTTTACTTGCTGCAACGCTAGTGCTATTTCAATCCAGTGGTTGATTGGCAAATGTGACATCAGTTAATGAAAACATCAAGAAATAAGTCAAATTTAAAGCTACAATCTCCTTGTTGTTGTCACAGGCAAGATATTTGACAGGAAATGCAAAAGCAAAGTGGCTGCTCAAGATAGTGATGCTCTTAAACCCACATGGCCCACAGGAATAGCCTGCAGAAACAATGCGTTCCTGTGTCTTTAAGGAGCCTGCAGTCTGGCACTGTAAACGTTGAAGGTAGGCTGATACAAAGGCTGATGCTGCTTTCAAGTGCTGTCGGGCAAATCGCAATTAAATCCTTAGAAGTTAAGCATGTCATGCCTGCAGGCTACGGTCAATACAGGATATTGAAATATTTAGGGACTGGATATCAGAGAAGTCTTAAGAGCATATGCTGGTAAAAGACACGCAAAGTTTGCCTGTTTACTGAAGTAAAACATGAATTACACACCTGAGCCACGAGGGCTCCTTCATTTCGTCAGTAGGTAAATGTAGTTTGGTGCCTTTGATTTCTAAAATCAAAAACAATTGGCACCGCGGTTAAAAGGTCTGTTTTGTTGCCTGTTTTTGCGAAAGAAAAAAAAGAAAAAAGAAAGAAAAAATGTGGGGAAAACGTTTGGACAGGCAACAAAACCTTAGAGCACACGAGCTTACTGTAAGCACTTGAAGGCAGCATGAAAAGCAGCCTGCCGGTGGTATTAAAAATTAGAAAATCCAATACAGCTGTATTAGTAGGCTACACACACCGATTGTTGACTCCCCCACTTTCTATATAGATTTGTACAAAAATACACTGAGAAAATAATCAAACTGTTTCCTCTCTTTTTAAGTGTCCAAAAGTGTGTACATTTAAATATAAAAAAAGAAATCAAAAGTTGTGTGTTTTTTTAAACTCTAGCCCTTCGCCTGAGAAGGAAATGTGACAGACACAGACATACTGACAAACAATCGTGTAAGAAAATAATAATAATACAGGACTAGATCATGTATACAAGAAATTAAAAAATGATCAAGTCAAAAATGCTTGGCCCAGTATATAAATACAACATCCCATATAAAATGGCATCTGAATACATGTACAAAACAAAGCTCAAAGGATGGAGGAGAAAAGGGGAAAAGAAGAGAGAGAAACCGATGAGGATTTCTCTATAGTTAAAATCTCGAAAATATTAAAAGAATTTTGGTCCTGAATCATAGAGAACATGTGTATAAAGTTCAGCACAGATTTGAAGTTGCGTTTGAATCCTGAAGTCTGAAAAATTACAACAGCTGGTGATTATTTCAATGTCCGTTTTTTCCTTTCTTTCTTTTAAAGAGAAGAACCGAAGCGAGCGCCACCTATCCATTTAAATAACCCTAATACTAGTTTTTAAACTGCTCGACAGTCTCACAGAAAATCTCAGCACAAGATAGGAACAAAGTAGGCTATCATGCTTAACGTGTTTTTTCCTTTTGCTTTTTGAGAAAATAGTCGACTTAGAAAAAAAATTTAAAAAAAACTCCAACCCACCTTGGTTTCACTTTTTTTTCTTTTTTTTTTTTAAATCCCTCTTTAGTGACACACCACAACAACAAAAAATGTCGCACGGCAGTCCCATTTCTGTACCTTTTTAGTGGTGAAGTTCACCTGGCGATTGGTAAAAAGTTGCAAAATGTCTCTTTTTTTTCCTTTCTTTCTTTTGCTAAATCGTCAACAACATTGATTAAGTGAACGACGTGCAAATCAATCACAGTAAAGTTGTTCAGTTCAAAACAGTCCACGACTGAGCGTTTTCAGTCTCCAGTACTACTTCCTCTTCTTCTTCTTCTTCACCCCCTTCACTGTCGTGTTGGTATTAAGTCCCACAGTCGACGCATCCAAAGAAAAGTAGCCTAGAAAAGGCATTTATTTGCTTTAAAGTTTAGCTCTCCAAGGATATGCAGCCTCTTGCCTATTTTGGGGGACGAGAAAGGACTGGGGGGTAGTTTCAGCGGGGCTTTAATAGTCTGATGCAGTTAAACCTATAACACAAACTATTGCGCCCACTTATGTCCCCGTTTCTGTTTGTGGTTTCATTCTTCTTCTCGTTATTATTATTAATTTGCTTTCAGGTTGTTACCGGTCGTCTCTTGCCTTTCTCAGTACGTGAACACCAGGTTGGAGATGGTGGACTCTAGCCAATCCCCGGAGATCATCTCGCTGACTTCGGGTGTGCAGTAGTCGGGGAATTCGAAGTGGGACCCTCCGGAGCCGGACTCAAAGTTCAAATCCCAGTCCCTGTCCAGCACCGAGGAGCCAAAGCTCCCCAGCGACATGCTATCAAAGCTGGGGCTCGGGTTGATGTCGAGCAAGTCGTCCTCGAACTCTTCGTCCTCCGAGGAGGACGAGGAGGAGTGCGACGAGGCGGAGGAGTGAGAGCCGGAGGGGGTAGGCGAGGAAGCCCGCCGACTGCTGTACGTGTGCCCACCGTGGCGCTCCGAAGAGCCGCCCAAGCTGCCGCTGCTGCCGGGGGAGTCCGCACCCTCCTCTCTGCCGCTGGCCGCGTCCTCGTACAGGCTGAGCGGGTCGCTGGAGTCCGCCGAGCTGCTGAGCGTCGGGCTGGCCGGGACCACGACGGAAGACGCCGGGCTCACGCTCAAGCTAGTCCCGCTGCTCCCCAACACGTACACTCGTCGGGGCTTCTTGCCATCAGGTATCTGCTTGGCTACTGAGGAGGAGACGGACTTGGACTTGTAGAGAGAGTTGTGGTGGTGCTCTGCTGGGTGCTCAGAGGCAAACATTGATGCTTTGGTGCTATTGCTGCTGCTCCCGAAAAGTGATTTGTGGGGTTTGCTGCTGCTGCTGGGTGATTTGGATCCGTTCTTCCTCGAAGAGGAGGACGTCTTAGTGCTGGTGTTGTTGGAGCTACAGTTGAGCTTTTCCCCCTTTTCTCCTGCGGGCTTGGATGCGCTCGATTTTACCTTCTTTCTTGGCCGGTACTTGTAGTCGGGATAGTCCGCCATGTGCTTCAGCCTGAGCCGCTCCGCCTCTCTGATGAAGGGGATCTTGTCGCTGTCTCTGAGCAGTTTCCACCGCTTACCCAGCCTCTTTGAGATCTCGGCGTTGTGCATGTCCGGGGACTGCTCCATGATTTTTCTCCTCTCTATCTGGGACCACACCATGAACGCGTTCATGGGTCTCTTGATGTGACCGCTGGGAGTTTTACACCACGCCGGGTTGTCTCCCAACTTGTCGCCGGCGGTCGAAGAAGCGGTGGAGCCCGGGGAGAGAGGCGAAGCGGCCGTTTCAAGGTCCATGCACGCCCCGGAGTCGGAGCTCGAGTCCCCGGCGAAGAAGGACAGCGCCTCGGTGGTGCTCTCTGTGTGGCTCATTTTCTGCACCATGCTGCCCAGCTGTGCAGACAGAGGGGGAGAGCGGTGTGCTTGCTCTTTCTCTCCCTCTCTCCTTGCTCCTCTGATTCACTATTAAAGCAAACTCAGCTCTTTTCTCTCCTCCTCTTCACAGTTTGAGCCGAGTAAAAGCCAGTGCAAGAAATAATTCACTCCTGAGATGCGCAGTAAACTCGGCAACACTTCAGTCCAGAGTAGCCTCAGTGGGCTAGATGCGTAAAAAGAAAAAAAAGTTTAATTTCCAGCTTCTGTTGGCGTTTAAAACAGCACGGATGGTAGCCCAGTCTCCACTGTGTACCCTGTAATCAGTCTCTCAGTCTCCCCTTCTGTTATAAAAACCAGTTTAGCCGTGGGGGCCACTGAGCACAGTCTATGCAGCTGCAGAGCGCAGACCGGGTGCCACACTGTGCGCTCGGGCACTTACAAAGGGCTCCCAAGTACAGTGTGTAGGGTAAGTGCTTTTCTCTGCATCAGAAACAAAAGCCATGCATGCTGTGTAAGGGAGAAAAAAATCAGCTAGAGCGAGTTACACTGTCCGCCTCCCATCAACTACAGTCGCGTTTCAAGCAGCCCTCACGGCCCGGCCCCCTTACTTGCATTTATTCCTTCCCGTAATACAACGGCGATAAAAATCCACCAATGAAATCCTGTCGCTAGCCTGCCTCCGCGCCAGACTCACGCCCACCTCGGCGCCGATTGGCCAAAAATGGAATCTAATAATAATCAGCGCGTGCAATGAGGAGCCTCGTGTCTGACCTCATTCCAGAATACAACAAGAAACTTCATTTTTTTTAAAGAGACATTGGCTTATGTTATGAACACCCCCCTCACCACCAGCCCATGTGTATATCATTAACATGTAGCCTTGCTATAGGAAAGCTAAGTATACTTCACCATATGGCCGTTTAAACACAGTGCAGTTTGTACCAGCGCACCCGAGACGGCACAAAAGCCACGCACTCTATTTTAACCAGCCTGCTTTTCTTCCACTATCCTCACACAGACAGTGAGGATATTGTGCATGGTGCGCACCTATAATAAAGCCAGCTGATACAGTGGTCCATTGCCGTGTGCTTGCAATGCTAAAGATAACACACTCTAAGGTTATCTGGCGTATACTGCAGGCTATATTATAATGGGATCACTCATTTAAACTGATTATCATTCTAACGACTGACTGAAACATGCGATAATTAGTTTAATTGGTGATAGTTTACCTACAGGTGGTCACCGTGCGAGCAGACTGACATGATAGTTTGGCTGGTGTGAGTAAAGACTCCAAGACAGCCAAGCTGTATATATGCTTTGCTTTGCTTTCACTCCTCTCTCTCTCCGAGGCGGGGTTGGGCGGTCTTTTGTCACATAACACATATCGAACGAACCCTCTCCAGCGCACTAGAAAGAGAGAAGCGAGGAGGGAGAAAAAAGGAAAAAGAAGAAGTAGGCTGTGTGTGCGATGTGTGTGCGCATTAACCGCCTGCGAGAGCGCTTGTTCTCTGTCTCTCTCGTTCGCGCACACACGCACACACAACTCAAAACTGACACTCAGTGCAGTTTTTCGTAACACAAAAAGCACCGGTGAGAGAGAAACGCACGGCACAGCGCAAGGTAAGAGTGTGCCCAGTTTCAACCACAATCAGATGAAACGTGTGTACAAAAACAGAAAGCCAACAGACAGCATCATTTTATCTTGTTTTCCTGAATCTTAACACATGCACCTAATAAAGGTGCGCAAAAAGTATCTGGGTAAGAAGAAAAAAACATATTTTGCTTGTGGACAAATTATCATCCTAAAGCAATCACAGCACGTAGTAGGCTCTGTTTTCTCGGGGCATCCAGTTCACCCAGTATGACAATTTGTGGTTTAATCTACTTTAAATGTAATGAGTCACATAAATGAAAAGAGACGAATGAGAGTAGGACGTAGGAAGGCTTTAAACTACAATGCGGAGTTAGGAGTGACGCTAGATGGCGTCGCATAGCCGGAGAGGACCCTGTCTCCGTCTGTGCTGCAGAAAATTTAGGGAGAGTAAAAAGAGATCAACCCCAGCATTGAATACAGTTACCAGGGGTGAATTACATAATGTCTCTGTGCGACAAGGAGGCATCCAAGCGATACTGTTGTGCAGAGTGAACGTGTATCTGCGGGTATGTTGGAATAAGGTATAACAGACTGCACTGAGGTAGAACAGGCTGTGGAATTAACTGGAAATGGAAGCAATATGGTGGTGTTAAAAAAAAAGATTGAAATCAGTCACCACTTTAATGATTCTGGCTTCCAGGGGAGCATGCCTGGTTCTTCACATTAAAAAAATCAATCTAAATAATAATTTTTAAAAAATAGTGCCAAGTGTCTGTGTAACAGAGAGAGACCAGGAGAGTTGATCAGATGTTCAGTGTCTTAATGAAAGTGGAGTCAGAGGTGACTTAGACCGCCACAGGGAAATTAGTATGAAAGTACAGTCGCCAGAGTTACTGGATGCATTTCACTGGATACAATTATATTCAATATGGCCTCGTAGTGCAGTGCATCCAAGTAAAGCAGTGGGTAATTGGGCTCCAATTTGTGTGTTCATGGAGCAGAACTGCAATGGATATAAGAATGTTAACTCGTAAACTCACACTTTGCCATAATGCGTCTTTTAATATGGAAATGTGGGACAACACGATGCAGTTTCACTCTTTGCTATAGAAGTCGCTGTGCTTTAGCCCAGGAATTACCATTTACTGTACAAGTTTAAAGCTAAAAACACACACATTTCAGCTTGAGTCTGTTGAGGCTGGTACAAATTCAGTAGTAATAATAATTACAGACAACAATTTCAAGGGTAGTATATCTTCTTCATACATTTTCCTCTCTTCCAACAAACTCTTGGGAGCTCTGTGCACCTGGAGGGACAGCTGGTAAGCTTTTAAATCTAACACCTCATTCAGTACCTTGAGCAGGTGTTGTCTATTCTATTCTATTCTATTCTATTCTATTCTATTCTAAAACATAAATGCAACCTTTCACCTAGTTTTGGTTTCACAGTTAACTTGAATACACGGCAATTTCTTGGCACACTTATCTGTCTTTCTTTCACTCTGCCCCCCCCCCCTTACCTTCTCTGTAAACATTAGCATGCCACACACACACACACACACACACACACACACACACACACACACACACACACACACACACAAACAGAGGTTCGCACGACGTAAAAGGATAAGTAGTGCATTCAAACTTTCCTCTCACTTTCTCCGTCTCTCTCTTTTACTGCCATTGTTACACTAAGGTGCAGCTGCCACGCGAGTCGGAGTGGGTCGCGTGCCAACCCCAATCTCAACAGGTGTTCTTTTTGCACACACCCCAAGCCCCCAACTTCCTTTGTCTGTCCTCACTCTTTCCTTCTCACACACTTTCTCTCTCTCTCACTCAACTCCTCCCTCCATTTTTCACTTCACTAACTTTTCTCGCCCTCTCTCTCTCTTTTCTCTCTCTCGCTCTCTCTCCCTGCCCCTCCCAGATCCAAATTTACTTGAACCAAATAGAATGACCACAATTAAATGAAGTTAAGCATAAAAACGTGTAAGAAAATACATTAGCACACCTTACATCCTGTGTTACATTACACTTAAAATATAATACGACTTGAAATGTTACTTTAACCAATGGGTAAGATGATTAAAATAAACGTAAACATAAGGCTGAAAAGTATGAAAGAAAAAAAGGTGGAAATCAAAGCTTCTGAATATCCTGCCACTTAAATAAGACTTATAGAAATGTCAGGTTTTCACTGAAGTACAAACTGAATTTTGCTTGGGTCTTAGATTGCGTCAGGAACTTGGTATTTCTGTCTTTATACAGGCTACAGAGCAGCAAAAACTCTTTAACTCTCCTTCTTCTTTCTTCTTTCTGTGTGCACTCTCTCTTCTTACCCATCTGTCATTCAGTGCTCCTTCTCTGCTTTCTGCCTCCCTCTCTCTACTCTCAAGCCCACTTTGTTTTATTGGCATGAATGTTAGGTGAACACTGTTGCCAAAGAACCCCGTCTCTCTTTCCTTTCTCGCCCCATCTCCCTCCCGAAGATAAATCTGATCTGAGGTCATCTGTTATTCAGAACACTGACACCATATGGTCAGCCACCCACTCGGGGTGCATTCAGTCGGTATCATGAAAACTTAAATCTTCCCATACTTAAATATTGATGAAGGTGTTATACTGCCCGGCTGTCACAAACCCTGCTTATCTCATATGGAAAAGAAATAGTAAAAACTTATATGATTTACTCATGAAAGTGGCCACTTTCTCATTACTTTCATATATTGTTTTAGTAAGTATCCAAAACATACAAGTTTCATTTATATAATTTTTCTAGGGATCTTACATCTGTTTTCACTCTTGTATGCTTTTCATACAAGTTTCACACAAGACAGATACAAACTTTATAACATTTATATATATATCTTTTCCATATGGGATAAGTGGAATATAAGTAATGGAAATCCCAGAATGGCAAATAGGAAAATACAAAGTTTAATGATGAAATCACTTATGAAAATATGATGGGATGTAGAGTGAAGCTGGGAAACACAATCACCAGCATTAACAAACACAATTAAATTAACAGTTATGCTTTTTCCACTACCACATTTTTTTTTGTTCATCCCAGCCATGGTTGACCTTTATTGCAATCTTCCAAAAGAAATAGCCACAACTGCAGTATTAAGCATGTAGTGAGGCGAGTGGTGGTAATGGATGTCTGGAGGGTGTCAGCGATGTAAAAAACTGTGAAAGGTTTTAATTGTTCCACAATTTTTCATGGAAATGAATGAACTCTGTGTTCCTATGTATCTCAGGCATGTCACTATCTCTAACACTCCTAATTATTTTCACTCCACAAACTAGCAGAGAGCGTGGAATACTAAACAGAAGCTCATCACTTTAATGTGCACATCCACACAGCAATCTGCATGGTTACTTTGCCTGATGTTGGTTGCGCAAGAGTTAATCAAGATAACCAGTGGATCGGATGTTTATAATTACACTCTGACAATGCATGCCACTTGAATTAGAGTCTGCAGATGGACCACATACCTGCCTCCTTAAGTAGCTGTAAAAGGATGTAATCAGTGAAATGAGAAGACCATTATATAGGAAGGGCCTGGGCCGGCGGCAAGGCTGAAATACTTTTTTCAAGGATTTTGTGTTATTCTTTTGAGCACAACAAGAATAACACTGTTTTATGTTATACTCTGTAGAGAGCTGAACACAACAACACTGTTTTATGTTATACTCTGTAGAGAGCTGAACACAACAAAAACTAATGGATAGTGATATAACCCCAATATTGGAATGGCCTTGGATTTTTCCCCTCTGCTTCACCTTGTGGACTGTGGCATCTGGGTTTATCCAATGGGCATTCTGGGCACATGTCACGGGGACAATGTACAACCTGCCCCTTTCTTCTATATATTGCTGAGACTAGTTGTCTCTCCCAAAGTCAGCTAGCTTTGGAAGAGTATTTCAGCACTTCCAAAAGGACTGAAAAGGGCATGATAGAAGAAAAAAGAAAAATAGTGATACCTAAGTGGTGGGTGTAA